TCCCTCGATCCAAATCAGGGATGATGAATTAGAGGATAAAAACAATTCATTTAGATGCTTTTCGTCTTTTCAGTTTCAGTTTAATTTGTTGCTCTTTTGATGCCTGACCAGGGACAATTGGGAACAGTGCAACTAATCTTTGCTTTACATATGTCTGTGTGTATCTCCTTTTTTATATATATCTAAGAAGCTTAATTCCAGCAATTCAGCCTCTTCCTTGTTACTAAAGGGCCACCCTGACTCCAAAGCAGAATCAGGGCTCAAGATTACCTTCACCTTCCTCAGATTTCCTCTCCTCAACTTCTTGTATCCAGAAGGGTGGCTCACAGAGAAGGGATATGACTGCTGGTAAAATGTTTCCTGCCTGTTGTCTGCTCCTCTCCTCTTAATTTCAGCCTGGGAAATTCAATCCCCCTACGAGTTCTAGGCAAATATTAGTCTCTTTTATAGCAAGACTTTTTGTTTGTTTGTTTTTAAGAAGAAGCTTAATATTTTACAGCCTTGCAAGGTGCTCTGGAAAGTTCCTGAAGCAGGAGGGGAGAGCCCTATGTGCAACCAGAGGAGGAAGATCTGGCCTTTCTCTTCTAGCTATGAGAAATGAAAGATCCACTGCAGAGTGAGGGATATGAGAAGTTAACAGATTCTTGGAAAATACCACATTGTTTCTCTCGTAGTCCAACTTTTCTCATAGTCTGTTAAAAGACACCAGTGTTAGGAGAGCTTATAAATAATTTTCATGAAGTTTACTTTCTGTTTTTTCAGATTTAGAAGATTTAGACTATAGTAGACTAAAGTAGTTTATAAATTATAGCAATAATCTGGTGTAAATTCAGCTATGGAATATTTTAGGATAAACCCACTGACTTCATTAAAAGCTAGGATTGGCCTAAAGCGACTTGCTGGGAGATTTTTGTGTACTTTTGTGTTGCTTGTTCATCCTTAGCCTTCCAAATAAAAATCCCTTTGAAGAATACTAGTATCCTAAATTCACAGAATAAAATTATACCTTCACAGTACAAATAGGAATGTTAGGGAGAACAAGAGTAAAATACTCATAACGTTGATTTTTTTTTTTATCTGAAGCTATAAGTAATAAAATGACAAAGGAAGAAGTTGTTTCAGACAGGAATTGCAGTGTGCTGCTTATAGGTTTTCTTTTATAGATGTTATGATTTTGTTCAAACAGGCCATATTGAATCCATTGGTTCTTTGTAATAGATTTCAAAATACATAATAAATGTAAGTAATATGATGACTAATGGGTCAAGTGAAGTTGGAACATTTTAAATGAGAAAATAGCTGGAAACAGTTTTCAGGAAACTATTCCAGTTGATTTTCGGTCCCCCACAAGGTGTACATTAACATAAACTCCGTAGAATCGCCTCTGGGACCTAAATTCCCTCTCTGATTTCATTATTGCAATGTGATTCTTTTCCCTTCACTGTTAAGTCATCTCCTGGTGTGGTGGGAGCATATAATAAGTGTAATTTATTTATATTTATCTAATCTCCTTTTAACTCAATGGTTATTTCATTCTTCTGTTTCCTAGTAGCTGTTCAGAAAGTTGTGAAGGGTAATTAAAAAAATAGTAATAGACAGACATGGATTTTCCTCGTTATTCTGAAGAGATGTAGTGAAAAAATAAATAGGCAGAACAGTTCAAATTCCACATCTTTATAAAAAAAAAATCGATTTGATATCATCTAGTTCAGTTTGATTGAAACATAACTAGAACTAATTCTCTTAACCTGTTTACAAATACAGGAATTGCTTTATTATTTGCAGTCCCTAGGCACACCCAACAAAATTTGGTATTGTTGTTATGTCTTAAATCTAAAGCATGGGGCATCACTGTAGTAGTGGGTCACCAGCAGGCAAACCAGGGAACCTGAAGTGAACCAGTAGGAGTTACAGGTAGCTTCAAGGCACCTTTTGCCCTGTCCGGATTTTGGTGTAATTCTGGGCAATGCAAAGAGTGGGCAGAGCTCACCTGGGTCCATAATCTATGCTGCATTGTGTGGTGTGCTAAGGTGTTCAAAATCACCTACGAACACTGGTTTTGCACCATGGGAGTTTTATTGCAGCTGTATCTAAGTGACGTTTTTGCATTGTAACATCTCTCTTTTGCCCATTTTGAATGATTGAGGAAGCTGCTGAACATATATCTTCATCAGCTGCTATAAATAGCTCTTCATATTTCATCAGGTTTCACTTTTTCTGTCCATCACTGAAATGTGTTTTTCTTAGAAGGAATGTTAGCGTTTCTTTTACAGGGCTAAGTATAAAGTGTAAAACAGGACAAAGACTAAAAATATGTTGATTACTCAATTGGATTTTTATTTTTTTAAACTTTTTTACATAAAATGCCAAGGAATCTCATTGCATACTCTTTTCCCAGTTGTAAAAATAACCTATGTCATTATGAGATAGTTAAAATATTTTCAGTAGAGGTTCCAATGTTACTTTTTCTGCAATTACGCCTCTGGCTGCCACAGCTTTCTGTCCAGGCTGATTCACTGCATAATAAAAACCGAATATGAAGCTTTTCAAGTTATCATTCATGACAGCATTTTTGCTGTGTGACGCTGTTCAAATGCACTGTTCCAAAACGAAAAACAGGGAAGCCATTTGCATTGCTTAAGGGTCTAGTGTTAATTTTTTTATTGCTCCATTATTCACCTCCTCTTCAGGTCTTTCTCAATCAAATCAACAAGTCTTATCAGCTTACACCCAAGCATTTTTAGTTTGGAGCAGTTTGGGTGTTTTTTTCTCATTTGCTGGGGCCGTTCTCCCATAGGAAACCAGTAGCAGTAAAATAGACCTTTGGCTCAGAAAAGCTGTCACACCAATCAGTAAGGGTCCTTTCCTCATATTTACTAACCTGCATGCTGAATTATTTATCAAAACCAAAATATATTTTATTTTAGACCTTTGTTGCCACTAACAAATAAAAATAATTCCATAAGGCACATTTTTCAAAAGTGCTTCAGTGGTTCAGGAACCCAAATCCTAGAGTGAGTTGAATTTCAAGCTCAGGGGACTTTTTAAAGTGCTACTCACATGTTGCTATTAAAAATGTTTAATTGGAAAAACTTTCTCTTTGGCTGGGTGTCGTAAGTAAATATTCATATAATAATGTCACATGAGTCTCTCCTTTCTTGTAGCTCTCTTTTTCTCCAGTGAAAGGGAAGAAGGAACCAATGATTCATGTAAAAAGACAGGCAACTTTTTGGATAGTTTTTAGTGCAAAGAGCAGTGGAGAGATTACTATTGGGATTTTCAAAAGCATTTGAACCTTTCTTTTCCCCTTAGTTTTAATTAAAATGAGCTATTTAAGTATTCCAAAAACTCTTTAAAGATGGTCATTTGTAGGTTTGGATGGCTCAAAATCTTGTCCTTTTCTTATGTCCAGTGTTCTAGCTTTAATGCTTGCCTTTCCCTTAGGCCCAAGTGTTGGCTCGTGTTTGCCACAATCTTTAGTTCACTAGGGAAGACACAAGAACAAGTATTTTCAGAAAATTAAAAATTGTAATTTACAATTAAAATAGTTTTTATTCTTAAATTTGGTAGCTGTAGCCAGTGCAGTACTACTCACCTTTTTCCAAGAAATTTAGCATTGTTTTTTTCATTCAGACCTAACAGAAATCCTAAGTGGCCCTTTGCAAGTTTCTTTTATCCTTGTAGAAAAAGTGCTCGTTTAAAATATAGAGACTAATCTATTCAGGTGCCTAAGCATCTAGCTGAAATTTAGATTGCAGAATATTTTTGAGAGTCAGAAAATGTGCTTTACCACATGCCTGAGAGTTTCTGAAGTCAGTATAAGCCCCGCTTACCTAGAGAGTGGAAGAATCAAGTTTACCAACTGACATGAACATTCAGAGTAGAAAATGATCCGGGATAACTTAAAACTAGGCCCTAATTTTGATAAAATATTTATTAATCTGTGTAAACCCTTCAACAAGCAGTGTTTCCATTCAGTGGTTATAGTGAAACTGGGAACTGAGCAGTGCTCTTTCTGTGAACATCTAACACAGCTTAGATGCATGCACAGAATTTTAATCATATTTTGTGTGGGGGAGACTGAAACAACGAGGTGTTTTTTTTCCTTCCCATTACCAAATGAACATTGAATTTTAAATGAAACTAAGTTTAAGCTACATTCCTTTAATGAAGCATAATGTACTGGCAAAGAAGTAGATAGGAGCACAGAAGTAAGCGTCAGCTGTCATAAAATCCTGCTTTCCTTCTGAAATAATTTTTTTGTAATTACTTCACTACTACTAGAAATACCACTATGATCAATGCTATTCATGCTATTTGAAATTTCTAAAAATTCCGAGATTTTCAGAAGTCTTTTAAGTACTTTAAGTATTTAGTAAATAATTTACTAAAGGGGAGAAGAACATAACTTTTAAAATATTTGTTTATTTCAGTCTCCCTGAAAACAAACAAATCTAGCCATACCTCAGTTTTTGTTTGCCTCTTTTTTCACATTTAAGCATGAAAATGCATTGAAGAAGTCTGCATCTTAGCTTTGTCAAAAATAAAAGAATATACATTTTATTCACTCTTTTAAACATGTTGAGAATGTTCACTATTGGCATTGGAGTTTAGTCAAATAGTTGTACTGAATACAAAACTCAAGAGAATGTGAAGTATATTTTCACTGTGATACATAAGGACTCGTGTATTTACCCTCCTACATATTCAGACACAGCGTATGTCTTTCAGGATGCTCTGGAAAGAAAGAAAATAAGATTAAGATTGTGTCGTTTTCCTCTCAAAATTGCAACTAGTGAAGCTTGCTTATAGTGCTTTTCATGAGATTTTAAATCAGATTCATTCATAAAATTATTGACTTGATGTATTTTACAATTGACTCAGTCCCTGTAATGGAATATAATAGAAATATTATCTCCTCTAAAGACCTAATATTTCTTCATTAAATGAGTAATTGCACTATAACTGCTAATATTTTTCTCTCCCTTTATTTCTTACAGCTGATATAAATGTGGATATATCAAAACCATTGAAGGCAAACCTCAGTTTTGTCAAACTTGATCAAATAAACCAGTTTTTGAATAAAATTGTAAACACAAATGAACCCAACAAGGAGGCTGCAAAATCAGCTGCTACTGCTACAAACAAGGATGCCACGGCCAAACACTCCAGTACCAGGGATTTGCTACCTGCGGTAAATGCTAACAGTGCCCAAAACGTTTCGGTACAAGAAAACTGGTGGAGAGCTCTTTCCTGCTTCCAGAAAATTTCCATCCACACTGTTCAAATGGTCGTCTCCATGGAAACCATCCCGCATCCAAGGAAACCTTGTTTGCTATTCTCTTTATCAAGCCTCACTGGAAGCCTGAATATCAAAAGTGGACATAAAGCTACAGGTAAGCACTTTAGAAAATTAGAAGTGTTATTGATGTGCTCTAATTGTAGTATAGGAACAATTTGAAAGCATGGGGAATTTGGAGAGCTAGTGCCCCAGCTTGCAAATAATTTGCAGAAAATAGCAAATCCATGATAGAGTCAATTGCCTGAGTTTTCAATTCAGTGAGATAGCAGCAAGGGGTGCATCCTTTTGTAGTTCGGATCCCCCACCTTGTAATTATTGATTCTTATATTCTGCTAATGCAGCATATACTTCATGGGACAAAATTTTGTATTGCAGTAACTGTCTTTATGACCCTTTATCATTATAACCATAAATTTCTTACAAAAAATGCTCAGAGACTGGATACACACTACAGTGTAGTTATTGGTTCATACTATTACTCTACTTCAGGCTTATAAAGGGTCCAATTTTAACGTGCTTCCTCTGAACACCTGAGAGTCACACAGAGCAAATGAGACTTCCTGTCTCAACAACTACTTTCATTACAGCAAAAATGTGAGAAATTTTACACCTGTGGTATAATTAGCAGAACACCAAATCAGTTCCTTTAAGATGGAGAAATTTTGAATAACTTCATAAATAGTTTGACTGCTATTTTAATAAAATTACTAAGATGATGCATTTGCATGATTTGGAGATGAGACAGACCTAGGTACTTGGAAGAGTAGTATGAGAGAGAAAGAAAATGGTCTAGAGCTGAGAGGTGTAAGTTCTAGGCCAAGCCAGGTGATGGTTTGGTTTTTTTCACCAGAAATATGTCTCCTCAGGCCAACTTCTAAGTCTAAGTAAGTGCTTCTTGGTCTAAGTCTAAGTGCTTCTTTATTGTTCTAAAAGATAAAAATGAAAAATCTAAGGTTCATAGGGCTTGAAAGCTGGAACCCGAAACTCCGGATTTATCCATAAAGAAGAAGTGGTACAGGGAGGAACAGCAACTCTATTCCCATGCTTTTCCCGACATATCTCAATCCTAGCATAGAAAGAACTGCACCTGAGTAAAGGGCCTCGTTAATATCCTTTAAACAGGTCTAGTTTTCTTTGCGGGGCGCAGCGTGGCGGCGCGGCCTGGCCCGCAGCCTCCGAGCCCTCGGTGCCGAGCGCGGCCGCTCGCCCCGGCGGCGCGGGGAAGCAGATCTGTGTTTTTCCTGTCACAAGCTGGATCTGGATCTTCCAGGCGCTTGTAGTCCGGCCAGCGCTGCTGGGTAAAGCAGTGCTGAGGCTGAACCTGTTTTGAGGGGGAGTTAGGTATTCATATGACAAACTCGTGTAACCAGACAATAAATAGACACGAGCAAACTGTTTTCACGTTCTCTCCAATTAAAGTTGCCTTATCTTTCTGCTTTATAAAAACCAAAACATATGCACACGACGGGCTGAACACTAGTGTGGCTGTACAAGAAATTGTTCTAAATTTCTAGAAGTATGAAAGGCACTTCCGCAAAACCAATTGAAACTGTGTCTAAAATCCTCTTAATACATTGTTTGTTTGTTTGTTTTTAATTATTAATAGATAGAAACCAAAGTGGAATGTAGGAAAAAAGATAAATAACTCTGTGCAGGGAAATTGTTTTAATTGTGTTACAAAAGCTTAAAGAAAAAGAATGGCACATTTACTAACTAGATTTGTTTCATTGTTGCAAAGAAATTATGCAAGTTAACTCAATTAAAAAATACATAGTAGCTGTGCCCCAGGTTCTTGGGAGCAAGGAATATTTAAATATGTCAGTTCTTCACTATTACTCTAAAAAAAAAAAGTTTTATAGATATACCTTTTGAGCTGAACAGGGTTAATGTCAGATTTTTTATAGTATGAAACTAATACGCAAATACTTCACTGTGTCTTTGATTTTACAGTCATATAACTATTGTGACCATCTGCAGCAGCTGCATTTTACGAATTATTTGCTGAACCAAACTAAGCACAATGACAAAAGTAGTCATCTCAGATGTACTGTTAAAACAGAGAAAGAAAAAGGAGCATTGCTTGCCTTTTGTACAGTATGGCCATCTGCTGTACAGATGTTATTATATAGAATGACTTCAGATACAATAATTGTAGAAAATTTTCATTAAAACCTCAACAATTTGCACTTGTTTACTTGAATCTGCATAACTCCCCAGTGAGACAACACAATACGCTTGGGGTTTCTTTGGTTCTCACTAGCTTTCTCTTTGATCCTTTTTGATGTGCTGACTTTAATAAACATAGTTAAAAACACTGTTCTAAAACATCATGGAAAAAACTACAAAGGAACAATTATAGCAGTAGAAACTACTCTAATCCCTTACTTACACAAGCTATTTTTAGTGAAATATGTTTTTTTACACATTTTATGTGGCAGTGTTTTATAAACAGTGTAAACGAGCCCCTTTCCAGATGAGTTTTAATGTAGTATATGAAGTTGGTTTGTAAGGAATCCTATTTGCTAGGAGTTATATTGAAAAAACCACTCTCAAGAATGTATTGTCGGCATTTTTCCTCCCTCACAGAGGGAAAAACAAAAGTGCGTGACCTCGTGTAACGCTTTGATTTTTTAGCTGAAATTAAGGAAGAAGGTTGCTATACACCCTTTTATATATTTTTATATATATAAAATTAAATATATTTTATATATGTATAAATACAAGTTTTTTTAAATTGCCAGTTTTCCCTCTAGACTTTCCTGACTTAATCAAGGAAGCTAAAGGCCTTCTGTTTTAATTTTTCTCCTTAATTTCTTATGAACTTAAAAAAGTCATAGCTTCTGAAAAACAACATGGCTAATTAGTTGCATTGTTATTCATTTCACTTCTAACAAAATAACCTGCAGGTGTTGATCACTCACGTTGCGGTTGGATCGACTTAAAAGAGTCCATTTCTACTTACCCTGATGCATTATTATACAACCCCAACTTTTAGTGTTTCTAGGGACTTCACTTTTTGGACACCCTTTACATTTTAATACATCAGTGACTTATAACAACATGATTACTATTTCTGCTAAAATACTTATGTTCTCCTCTGTGCTTATGGTAAAATACTGAGTATTTTGATTTTAGTAATGTAATACTGTTACAGAATGTAATGCAGTGTATTGTAAAGAAAAGAAAACCTCTCTCACAAGAAAGATATTTGATAATTTTAACCTAAAGAGGTTACAGATATATTTTTTCTGATACCCTTAAGGGCAAGACTTTAAGTCACACTGATGATAATATAATAATTAATTGTAGCCACCTTATATTTTGTGGTGTAGAGTTACAAGTTAATACTGGATAGAGTACAGTTAATACTGTACTGGATTAATACATGCAAATAATAAACATTTAGTCCACTTTTTGGCAGCTTGTTTGTAGTGGTGACCAAACCCCCAGGTTGAAGAGCTGTCATTAGAAATGGGTCGCTGAGTTTGGTCTGCTGGAGTATGTGGCTTCTTCTGGAAAGCGGCTCGAGCTCCCGAGTCCCATGTCGGCAGTAAGATTTGCAATTGCTCAGCATCCCACTCGAGTAACGTAGCTCGTTCCAGAACAGCTTCATGCTATTAAAGTCTGAATAATTTTTAGCAATAAATACTAAGAAATAGAAGGCAATTCTAAACAAGCGACTTGCAGTTAATTCAGGTTGGTGTTGAAATTAGTACTACCTACCTGCCAAAATAGCAGATAAATGAGAGAAGTTAAGGACTGCACTTCCCCAGAGTGAAAGTCAGCAAGACGCCTGGAGCCTCAGTGGAGCCTTATTTTGTTCAGCGTGGACACCGGAGGGGAGGCTTGCTGTTCAGTGTCTGAAGTTAGGGAGTTACTTCCACAAAATATTCCAAAGATCATAGACAGAATTTCCCAGCCCTTGTTCTTGTATACCAATATAATTACTTTATGTATAAATAAGGCAAAAAAGTAAACACTAGTTGAGCCTGTGAAAATCACAAGTATTTTTAGTAACCTGAAAAGAAATTACGTACTCTAAGATACTTTATTGAAATAATAAAAATTAAATGTGGTTATTAATTGGTGCAGAGCAAAGTCCAAACTTCAATTTGGAGTTAACTGACTCTCTTGAGAAAACTCTGCTAAGGCGTTGTCATAGCCTTTGGATGCTGCAGATATGCAAGTTAGCCTATGGGGAAATAAAACATTAAATTAGATATGACTACCTAAAATAATATGCAGCAGTAACAAGCCATTTACAGCACCCAGAAGACCTTTGTTACTTTTAGAAAGAAATATAAACTCTTTCCAACACTTGAACAATAGGAAATTAATTCTTTGTCAGTAAAAGCCAGAAGACAAACTAAATATTTAAATGGCCACTGAGGATTGAGGTGGAAGTACAGCTTGTAGACAGCTATACAAATCACTAACAAACCTTAATGAATATTGGGTGTGGGCATCAGGGTCCTGTCAGATTTGACACCATGTCCCAAGTAGCTTAAACCCAACACTCAAGAAAAGGTGGAGACCTCATCAGGTCTCTAACATCTGGGATTTTATTTGTCATTTTGGCATACCCTGCAAGCGCAAAAGAAAGAGTAAAAGGGGATTATCCTGACAATGAAATGAGTTACTGAATCTTGTGATAATGAAAAGCAGAAGAATTCTAATTCCTTTCTATAGTCCCCGAGGTGGAGGTGCGTTTATAGTTCTGCAGAAGTATAATGTAGGAGGGAAGAACAGATGGCCTAAAATCCATGAAACAAGACACCACCTAATCCCAGGACCAAGTACCACTATTAATCCTGGTCAGATTCCCTACTGGTACTTTGTAACAGGGCTCAGAATTGCTACTGATGAACTAGCATGTCAAGTTAGGAAAAAAAAAAGTTTTTTTGAAAATTTACTGTAGCTTGTTGATTCAGTAAAGTGCTTACTAAGCCTGTGGAACCATATCTAGGATTGAAAGAACTTAAGAAAGTAGATTTCAAATGAAATTCAATTAATAAAAAAGCTATCATTTTTGTACTTTCTCTATTTTTATAGTGAAATTATTTGCATACTTTTTTAGACCAGAGATGCTTTCAT